TGTTTCCTCTGCACTGAGAGCTAGATGCATCCTCGAGGTTCCAGATCTGGTACTTTTCCAGGGTACTGACGCAACTATCACTGATACAGGGAACAGCAGCCAGTATACAGTATGTGCAGCACATGAATAAAAATTGGGCTCTATTGATTTTGCTTGGCATATGTCAAGATAATATGTTTTGAGACAGCCCACAACTCTACTTGATATCCAGTGCTGGAATTTGTAGCATTAAGTAGTCCAACTACCACACATTCTGTGCAACAAAGCACTCTCTCTAAATCATAACATTTATGACTCTCCTGTCTGAGTCCAGCAGTGTGACTCCCAGTGGCTGCTTGCACCATAACACTCTGGCTCCGACTTAGGGGATCTGCTGCGAATATTTCCAGTCTGAGCTTTGAGGAGAAACAACTTGATTTGATTGTACAGAAGACTGCAACTTCATGTCCCATCTTGTCCCAGGGCCCCAGAGCATAGCTGCACCTGGACAATCATCTAAGCATTAAGGGGAATTAGATTGACTGGAGTTGGTTCCCTGTTGTCTCTGACCTGCTGCTCTCTAGCTGTGGAATAATCTCATGAATAGCATTGATAACGGGAGTGTTCACATTGGCAGATTCATTACACATGCCATATGGTTCATAGTGCTATGAGATGTGCACAGTGTGCAGCAGTTCTCAGGGAACAACTGTTCAGTGCATGTGTATAATACGCAGTAATGTGTTGCATATATCATTATTATTATTATCAACAGATAGCCTTTTTCTTTGTAACTGTACTGTTTTAGACATTCAGATGGATGTTGATGGATGTTTACCAAAGTCAAAAAAGGGCAAAGCTATGAGCTTGTGGAATCTGCAGTGACACAGAGGAGACTGTATGCTTACCTTGAAGGAGAGGATGCAGCCAATGAAGAGGAGGACTGCAAAAACTAGGCACATGTTGTTGGTGGACATGATGTCCTCTTTGTATGGGAACGTCCCCGGCTGAAGAGAGGGAGAGAGGAAGATTAATTTGAAAATATAAATGTCAGGAGTGAAACAAAAATCAATGACGAGTCCTTTAAGTCCTAAGGAACCAAAGAGTCTAAACTGGACACCTAATATATATGAGAGTGTTCATGTCTGTGTTGAAGCTTTTGACAATATTTCAAGAATAAAAGAAACATGTAGTTAGAAGTCATTAAAGTCTAAGCTTGAGTCAGAGTGAAATGGTCCTCACCAGCTGCTGAATGTAGTCCTGTACCGTGTTGGGGTAAACCACCACACTAATGGCTACCAGCGTATTAAGGGCAAAGTCAAAGATTTGGTAGCAGAAGAATGGAATGATCCAAGCGGCATGTTGCTATAGAGGAGAGATGAAAAACAGATGAAAATCAGAACGTCTCCCAAGTTCAGATGCCAGGTTGGCTCTCTTTTGTTTGTTTCTTTACCTTATAAGCGCCATACGTCGCCATGCCACATATAAGAATCATGAGTAGAGATATTGCTGTGGCTATGCAGATATCTGCAGAAAAACACAAACAGAACACTGAGAACTGTTAACCTGATTTATTAGTGAAAAACAGCAGCAAACACGGGAATTTCACTGGAACCTTGGTAATCCAACAGTCATCACGGGAGCATGGATTTTTACAAGACAAAGCACCTTAAGCAACTTCACTATTTTTAGCACTCAGCCTGCCTTGGATAGATCATGATCAACACATAACACCCTTCTCACTTTTACAGCTGTGAATACAGCCGATAACTGGATATCTGTGTATGTGCTCTTGAGTAAAAAGATCCCCAGATCACTACTACATTGCTACATTTATGTGTGTAACCATTACCACACACACACACACACACACACTATATATATAAGCAAAACAGGTATAGGTGCACTGCCACCCCTCACCCCACATTTTAGTTTTAATTTCATGATTTCCCTGAATATAATCAGTCACATTAGTGCTGATTGCAAAACTGTGTCACCAGTTTTTTGCCATCCTTTTCCACAGTTTCAGTCTCTGATTGACACTGCACAAGCAACAACACTTTCCAAGGGGTAACGTCGAGATGGCCGATTTAATCTGATGAAGAACTAGAGCAGTTATTAATCAGAGTAGCCAGGGACAGGGTCTGTGATGCTCCCAGATGCGACTGTGATGAGGATAGCTGCTGGAAGGGAAGCACCCAAAATACCCACACACTCTGATTTGTTCTCCATGGTGCTGAGCCTACTAACCTACGTCTGTGCTGAGAGCAGCATAAATAAGTGGTGCACGGAAAGGAAAGGAAAGGAGAGGTGATGTCAGAACGGCAAAAGCACATGAGGCTATACAGACAGGCTGATTTTAGTTAATTAGCCAACATGTTTCAAGTTATTTGACTGTTCAAGCTGAGTACATCCTCATACTGAGGAGTTTCAGCAAATGATTGGCTTTCCTGCTTGAAAATGTACTCAAATGTTTAACAGATTCTCAAAGCAGCTGCAGAGTCTTTTCCTGCCAACTAACTCAATCATTTCAGTTTTGTGTGCCAGTTTTATGCAAGATAACACACGACTTCACTGAGGACATGATTCCACAAGACAATTTATACTAAGTCGGACATGTAACAGGGGGATTAGTTGCACTTACTGGCGTCGTCCATGACATCGATGTCAGTGCCCAGCTCAGAGCTGGTAAGGTGGTAGCGGTACTGAACTGGGTCATTGAGAGCAGACAACAAGATGAGTAGAACCACTGCATTGATGAGCTGTGGGGATATTAAAATCAATATTACATTTTAAATAGGAGTCGCCCATTTGTACATATTTTGATTAATCTTACGTTAATAAAACAAATCTGAACTAATGAGTCAGAATAATGATGATGTAAAAATAATGATGTTCTAGGCTTTTTTGTTTCATGTTTGTGGTGTGTTATAGGTAAAAGTAATTCAAATTAAAAAACTAATTGCAGAAGAGGTAAACAGGTTAGAAAGGGTTTTTTTTTTATTTAGTTATTTTTAAGACATGTTAATGGCTGGGTCTACTGGACAAAACTATTATAAAGCATTATAATATGGTGATTAGGTCTGAGCAATCAAGCAATCTTTATTTAAACAGCAACTTTCTAAACCTAAGTTACAAAATGCTGCACATTAGATAAGAAAGAAAGAAATAAAAACGGATCATTTCAGTTTCTTGTGCCAGTTCTATGCAAGATAACACACCACTAATGATCCGTTCATGATTAGGCCAGTGGTTATTTTACTGAAAGTCACCATCCACAAGTTCATAGACCCCAAGGTGACACTGGTTGTGTCAACACAACAGCTCCAATCTTACATAACTATGTTTAAAACGTTGGGTTTAAGCCAACTGTCCATTTAACTGGTTTAAAAGTAGGGCGACTCAAATGGGACGGACTGGTAAGGTTGTCATTTCTGCACAACACAAAGTACAGGGAATGGGCACAAATTCTGCTTAACATTTAGATTTGATAAGAAAATCTATCTAAAATAACCAAGAAAAAAGACTTGAGTGGTAATGTTGGCGACAAACAGCCCAAGCAAACAATATTTTAAAGTTATGTTGATCTATACACAAGGACATCCTCAAAATGGAAAAATCATAAAAACTAATAAAAAACTGAGGCAGCGTTTGTTATAAAACTTCACATCTTTCGACATTTATCACGTTTAATCGAATATTCCACATATGTAACCGCGTTTGAAGCCATTTGGGCCTGACATCGAATGAAAAACTGGACTTACCATATACCAGATTCCCAGAATAATGGTGCCCGTCCGTACATGGCAGCAGAGGCAGCAGCTCGTCGAGTACCACCGGTCCCACGGCGAATTCATCTTTTATCCTGCGATGGATTTCAAGCTATTTCATGAATGCTGTCGAAGATGAATTACTCAAGGCTACAATGTACTTAACAGATTAGGTAGATGGCGTTGTGTGTGCTAGGACCGCCACATCCAGCCTCTTTTGGAAACGATGCTTCTGCAAGTGGACTCCTGGCGAACGGAGAGTCACGTGACCACGGGAGGCTTTTCACCAGGATCCGGAGGATGAACGGTGATGGACACAAAATGTTTTGAATTCACACGAAACACTGTGCTTTCGCGCAAACCGAGGGCTTTACTAATGTCAGTCAACGGAGCAGAATTTAAAGATGGTTTTTCCTTTAGTGACAAATTCTTATTGAGGGAAATTAATTTGTTTTTGAGTATGAGAATACGCACTATTAATGTACAATATCATGATAGGAGCCTTCAGGTCTTTTGCCAAATTAATATGTGGATTTTTAACACAAGGTGAGTCACTTTTTTCTCATTTAAAGAAAAGCCTCAAAACTTTAGAAATAACCAAAGATGTGTTTTGTTTGAAAAATAAAAGTCTTCATTTCCTCTTGATTTGTCTTGATTTGTCTGCCTGTGGATACATCCTAGACCAAGCCTGACAGATGGGTCAGTGACTGCGACTCTAAGCTCTGGTGGGTGGACTGCATCAACATCATCATTTGGGGATTTTCCTCTCCAGCCAGCAATGCATTCATTCCACACAGGATTGCCTCACAGTAAGCAGGTTCTGGGTTCGAGCCCCGGCCAGCCTGGGGCCTTTCTGTGCGGAGTTTGCATGTTCTCCCCGTGCTTGCGTGGGTTCTCTCCGGGTGCTGGGATTGGCTCCGTGACCCCGTTTGGGACTAAGCGGTTTAGAACCACAGATTTGGGATTAGTTTGACAGCAGACAGGGGAAAAGCACCTTTCACTGCTGGTGTTGTGTGGAGTTCTGCTGAAAGAATACGCCTGAGATTCATACTTACCATGATTAAAGGTGGCAAAACCTTTAGAATAACTCATTAGAAAGAACTTCCATTAAGAGTTAGTCATATTTGAAATCACTTCTAAAAACTTCAACACCTTCTCATAAAGCCCTGCTTGCTATAGAATTATTTTTGTTATTTTAACCCTTGTTTCAATTTCAACAGCTAATGCTGCATTTACAGGATGAGCGAAGTACGATTCTATGACAAGGTGGTATCAAGCATTTCAAATTTATTTCTCTTATTAACCAAACAAACATAGAAATAGCATTTGATTCTCCTCAAAAGACAAAATCATTCACAAAAAGACATTTCCTAGAGACAAGTATATAAATACACTGACTGAATCATCTTAATCATCAGTAAAAATAAAAACAATAAAAGGCGCCTGCAGCCACAGCGGCATATTTTTGTTCTGAGCTCTATCAACAATTACTGTATGTACCACCGCCACCTGATCAACACCTTGATGCACTACAGCTCTTTGTCTACAGACAACAGACTCCTGTTATTGGTGTCTGCTAAACTGGGTGCCACAGAAAAGCTGCAAATTGTCTCCTTAAAAAAAGCGATTACAGTATATACACTCCAGGACCAAGTACTAAAGCAAGAGATCGTTCATTTAATGTCATGTACACAAGTACTCTTATCAAAGTCATGCAAGATGAAATGGAAACAAAAACAGGACACCAATGTACTTTCTATACATCTACAGGTTAAGGCAATGGAATTAAATTCCATTTATATATGTGTAATTGTGTGTGTGTCTTATTTAAAACCAATTTTAATGTGAAATTAAAGATGCTCTGTATCCAATTTCTATGCACGTCTTTGTTCTCAATGTGTCAAGACCCCCCCAAAATCATAAATCCAGGAAGTCAGCTACAAACCAATTAAGTTATATTTCACATTCAGCAAAACTATGTTAACATCAAAAGGAAGTTAATCCAGCTTTTAGCACAGTGCAATCACAGAACTGGAAAAAGCCCTTACAATCTCTACATATGGCATGGCTTTTTCTAGCACAAATACTGGAAGAAATTCTTTATAAAAAAAATCATATACAGTGAGGAAAAGACCATTAAGTCACTAGAAAACTCAACACAGCCTAGTCAGATAAAGACTGATACACTAGGGGAACAAGGCTGAGTAGTGCTACTGCTCTATGGGATAATCCCACTACTCTTTAACTTCACATTGCACCGCCTCCTGGTGGCAAATAAATCAGTTTACTGTGCTCTCAGTGTAAATCCAGAGTCTGTTTACAACATCCAAATTTCAAATTTAGCATTGTCTTTGGAAAAATGATGTGATCTAATCCATAACTGATGGGACCAGTAACTTTTCGGCTGTCAGCGTGTGCCACATTCTCATCCGAGTTTTAACAAAATACTGTGTGGTGGTTACCTCCTCTATCTCGCATCTCTCTGCCTCCACCAACTACAGTCAGTTCTCACCTGCTCCATCACATTCGCTGTTCATGTGTTCCTACCTTTTTCACTGTTTAATACTGAGACAGCAGCATTAATGTCATTTCTGTTAAAAAACATAACTGTGGCCATAAAGCTTTGTCTGTGCTCATATCAAGTGTCCCTAAAAACAAATCTAAACATTTCAGTGCTGTGGGGAGGCATTATGTTAAGGGTGGCTCCAGTGCCATGCTTCGCGCCCCACCCGGAAAATCCTGAACTCATAAAATTATGAATAGCCGTTTAACGGTCTAACTCTCCAGTTCAGCACTACATAGTTCTCAGTCTTTTCATGTGTTCATCAACTATTTTCTATCAGGTATAATGTGTTTAGAATCAAATGACTGATTTAGCTTTGCCCCAACTTTAAGTGATATAATGGCAACAGCATGGTCAACAAAACAAAACATTTTCATATAACAAAAAATTAATAACCCTGTTTATGTATTTTTGAGTTAACAACTATAAACATACACTCTCGGAGAGGAAAAAAAAAACACTTTTGATGCCATTAAAAAATAATTACATACACATGCATTCCACTGCAATTCTACCTGTCCTGTCCCGGTAGCAGTGTAGCAAATAGTGCAAATTAGTTAAGATTTCAGTCCATAGGACCACATTTCATCACTGTATCGAGGCAAGCAGGTGATATCCCCACTTGTGTTCTTTTTGTTTCTGTAACTGAAAAACTGTTGGTGTATCTCAGAAAGAAACTCTGTACCTGGTAATTATTGCATGTGACACATTTAACAATCTGTTGCATATGCTTGTCTGGACCTGTGATGCGACTTCATGTATCCCTTCGGGCCTTTTTTTTCTGGGACGGCTTCGGAGGCTCCACAATCTGCTCAGGCTTCTCTGCAAGTACATTAAATGTAACAAAGTTGTCGTTAGATGGACATAAATTACAGCTTGTGCTTTAAAAGATTTTTTTGTAAAAGTAGAAAGACTGAATAAACAGTTATGAATAATTATTATTATACTACTTATATGATGTAAAACATTTATTCCTTTCTGAAGTGAACACAGATTCAGAGTGAGAACTATTAAAACATACTCTGAGAGGAAGATATGCTGGGATTCTGCTTTTTGGAAGCCAGCACAGGGAGCTCTTGCAGTTTGGGCACTGCACTGACCAGGGGCACTGAGCTTACCATCTAAAATCAAACAAATGAAAATGGAAAATGGCTACAAAACAGAAGAAATGCTACAAATATAAACAAATAAGTAAAACAGTATTTGACTTCCGTGGAAGACAGTCTTATTTTTTCTTGCCTGAGCCTCAGCAGCAGCCTCTTCATCGGTTTTCTTCTTCTTTTTCCTCTTCTTTTTGGATTTGGTCGCTCCCCCAGATGCATCCTCTGTGTCCTTCTCATCCTCTGATACCTGCCATAACAAAACAGACATATAGATGATTTAAGATGAAAATTTGCCTTTAATTAAGGATAGTTTAGAAGAGGTACACATTGTAAATAGTCATGTGAAGGCTCCGAACATAAAGCAAGACCTTGCTGGGGACAGGCTGTTCCTTTGGTGGAGGGGCTTGTGTCACTAACACAAGAGGGTCTTCATAGTTTCCCCAGTGCTCTGCTGGGGCATTCCAGTCAGAGCTGGGGTCCACCGTTGCCATCCCATCTGCACCGAATTCACATCAGCGGGGCACAAGTCAGATGAAGACAAATCCTAAATGCTGTTTCTTTCCAACAGTAGGTGTTTAGGAGGGTGTGGGTTGTGGGCTTAACTGCCCTAACACTTACTGAATCCAGACCATTCATCGCCAACACCAGAGCGGCTCGCCCACTGCAGCTCGACTGAATTTGATAATGGGTCTAAAAGAGACAAAAGGCAGGTGAAAACGGTCAATCAGACAGGAATAAAGAGACACACCGTTGAAGTGGAGTTACAAAGTACATCCGACATGCTTCATTCTACACATTCAGGAATGTAGAGATAATGCTGACAATATCAACCTGTGGTGTTTAGTCCCAGCATGGAATAGGACACTGGGTTGAGGTCAGTCTTTGTACGGCCATCAATGCCACTCCATGCTGGTACTGAGAGCACACAGAAGCACAGATTATATTGTTGGCAAACAAACAGGGGAGGTCAGATTTGGCATCAACATCTTCTAAAAAAAAAATTGTCTATTTATTTGGGGTGTGCTTGTTGAGAGTTTTCAATTATTTTGCCACCTCTTAACAAAGCCATTTCCTAAATACTAACTCCAGTCTGAACGCAGCAATAAAAGTTTTTAATGTTTTCTTGCAATATACCACATCAGCCCAGTAGGGTTGGGGTTCAACTCTGCATTGATCTTACTGTATTAGTTTTCTTTTTCAATTTTAGTAATAAAAAAAATGCAGTTTTGACTTTGTGCCTGCTTTGACTTTACAGCATTATGAAAAATGCTGAAAGAACAGCACAGACACAAATAATACCACATGACGAAATCTCTGACCACAGTGGTATCATTTTAAATACAGCTCAAAATGTACCAAGAATAAAAAAATACTATTATGTGACTATTCACTATCATAGTTTTTTCAGATCCAATGTCTAGAGTCAAAACAATGAAAAAACCTTATAGTCTTCATGTTTGGAGACTTATTTCTGTTTATATTTGTGGTGTACAAATGTCTACCCAGCCTGGGTACCTTGTGTCTCCTGTCCCCAGCGCTGGGGCTCAGCTGATGCCCTGTAATGTGGAGCAGAGGAAATGGTGCTCCACTTGGTACCCTCCATAGCACTCATCTGACCTGGGAGCTTCAAGGAAATGTCACTCCATCCTCCACCATTGACTGAAGGCTCCTCTCTCCAGCTGGAGGGCACTAAGGAAGCAGACGTGCAGGAAAATAGTGGCAGACTGTTGCAGTTTTGCCAACTAGCGACAAAGAGATGCTGAATTTTATTCTAAGTAAATCAGTGGAGGACTTAGTTGGGAAAGCGGATTATAGAGTTTAAGCCAATACTGTTGTAGCCAGTATTGCTGATAAAACATTTCCTAATGTCAGTCAAAGTGAAAATTGTGTTTCAGCTCTGCCTTTACCAGATCCGCTGGCTGCATCCCCCTTTCCAGTGGGTCTCGAATGGAGGGACTCTGAGATAAAGTGTAGGAAAAATCACCAAGCTTGAATTAAGTTAACATTACTAAATCACCCGTTTCTGAATATATCTGTTTCCAACATTATGATATAAGCTGGCCCTTTATTATTATTTCCATAATTTTAATGATAGGCCCAAGCTTTTGATGATATCTTCTCTGGCCTTTAATATAACAGCAAACCCAATAATCTAACATCTACATGCAGTCAGTCCTAGCCAGAACAATACCATGAGTTCCTCTGTTCTTCTTTGTGTTGGTAGATGCTGTGGCTACAGGTGCTGCCACAGGAGTTCTGGGGGCCTCAACACCTCCGGGGCTACCAGAGTCCTCAGGGCCCTTGTCCTTCCTGCGTTGCTGCCTCTTCTCTCGGTTACTGACTTTGGTCTCCCATGCACCTAATGGACAGACACACACACACACACACATCAACAACAACAGCAAATGGTTAGCTGTGTGCAAGGCATTGATAATTGTGTATTTTAGCTTAAAGTTTGTACTTCAGTTACCATTTGGATGTTTGGATGCATTTTGGTTGATTGTTTAACCAAGAGGGTGGTTACAAGAAGAAATATGAATATGACATGACTGAAATATGTGAGGCTAGCCAAAACTGGAGAGGTCATATGCATGAGGGGTGTGCCGTGGGTGGAACTAAAAGACAGTTTTAAACGAGAAGTTGTGAAATTTCCCCTACACCAGTCAGTCTTACCATCATCAGCTTCCTTCCCATCACTTGTAGACACCTGCTGGGCTGGTTTCACATCTGTCTTGGTTTTCTTTTTGTTCTTTTTCACCTGTGCTGGGGGCTGTGTCTGTAGACAGACATAGGTCAAATTTATATTAAGGTATGGAGAAAAAGGTTATACCAAGGACAGTCATGCAGTTTGGTTCTCCTTTGAGATCACACCACACTGGCAAATCTGATAAGGAGAGACAGTAAGGTTTCAGTAACCTTCACCAATAACAGTTCTGTACAGTTTTAACAAAAGTCACTCAAGCAACTCAACTTTTGTTTGCCCTCCTCAATAACAATTACAAACAGTTTCGGGTCCTCTTAATTTTGGTAGCAGTCATTCCATGTACCTTCTCAGTTTTGGTCTGGGGGGACAACTTGGAAACCACCTCTGCCACCTTAATTTCCTCCTGAGCTACAGCCACTGGCTGGCCATTGTAGTGAGTCTTCTAGGTGAGAAAGGCAAACGCCAGTTAAACAACATGACGTTTATAATCTAGTAATATCACAAACATTAAACTTACACGTCTAATCTAAAGTCTGAGAATGAAACTAATACAGAGATTTAAACATTTACATCCCTGACAACTGACTAAAGGATTCTGGCTGTAAAGTTACACCGACCTGTCTTACTGTATGTTTATAAACTATTACAATTTAAAAGCTTCATCTGAAAACAAATATAGCAGCTATGTGTGAAAAACCATGCCACAGTTTATTGAAATGAAACATGAAGGCACGCAGCTAATCGGGTGTTAGCTATCTGAAATGCCCTGGCTACGAATATTATGTTACCCAGCTAGCGTTAAATATCCTCAGTGGCCCGTTACATGGCTATAGACAGCTAATTAGCATCCCTTTTCTGGACAGGACACAGTGATTCACTGTGTCTTTAGCCAAGTAGTTATTATTTTGTCATTTAGTAAGTGGGTCACAGGATTGTCCATAGATAACCTAGTTTCATTTAAGCTGTGTAAACAAAGTAGGATGTAACGCCAACGCATACGTGTCAGTAAACTAATTAGCGAACTAGCCAACCCTGACTTGAAATTAACGGCTCTTACTGATAAAACTACGGAGATAAATGCACAAGTTAAGGTAACATCTAGCTAACTGTGTAAACGCCTGTTTAGCGTCAGTTGTTTACAGACACACCAATGAATAGACGCTAGTTTGGGCTGACCCAAGCTTGCTAACGCTGCCTACAGTACCTTGTCTGGCGTTTTCTTCTTGTTCCTCTTTTTCTGTTCCTCCGGCTTGGCTGTTTTAACAGCACTGGCACTAACAGGCTCATTGCTGCTTTGTGGGATCGGGGATCCCCGTTTTTTCCCGATGAACACACCTCCACAGACTGCGGCCCAAGACAGACAGAGCACCAACAGCAGACCCACCGCAGCCGTAGACAGGATCACCCACGTCGGGTACAGTTCGGGCTTCAGACCCAAATCCACCCCGAACTGAGCACGAACATAGCCTTGCCCGGAAGACAAGAGCTCCTTCAAACGACTGGAAAACAGTTCGGCTTTTTCCAGCGCAAAACCTTGCAGGTCTCCAGCCATGCTACGAAATTGCAAATACACCAGCTAACTGTTAGCTATCACTGCCAGCATCCGTATGCTAACGGAGGAGTGGCTACACTTGGAGCTCGTGCCCTACTGTTAATCTGACCACTGGGACAAATCTCAGTACATATGATCCTTTATTCAGGCCGTTTGCAAGTCAGCGAGATTAGCTTCATGCAGTGATTTGGCCATACCTTAGATTTATCACCCACATGTGAAAATAAACCAGGTGAATCAATTGGTTCTGTTATATAAACAAATCATTCCTCACCATTAGTAATTACACTGAAGAATTTCTTCTTATAAAACATTTTATTCTACATTAAAATAACAATGTTAAAACAGTTCACTATAGAAGCCAGCACCCAGAACTGCAGACTCAATAAAATATATTCTAGATATTTACCATCTTTAGGTGTTAATAAGGTTACAGTACAAAACTGCTGTCTCTCACACAACTTATTTATAATTTAATAAAGCTTTAAGCTGTCACCATTCATTTGTTTTTTGTAATATTGTGACAGTATTATAACAGCTTTCTATGATAAGAAATTGTTTTGCCAGCTCCACAAGAGCAAAATAAATAAAGTTGTTAAAGAAAAGAAAATGTAACTAGATGTCAGATCAGTTTCAGAAGTCAGCATCAAGAGTGAATTCACAGTCCATCATGCTTGACATGACTCCAAATCTCTGATACTCTGCTACTCGTTTCTCAAAGAAGTTGGTTTTCCCCTCCAGTGAAATGGACTCCATGAAGTCAAAAGGATTCTCAGCTTGGTAAACCTTAGAACAGGTAAAAACACAAGTTATTTCACATATCAAAGAATACAAAGAATATCGCTTTTAGTGTGAGATTTCAGGGTTCCTCTGCTTTCACAGAAAAATACCATAGTATAAAGGAATTGAATGTGAAATGACAAACTGGCTTCCATTGTACCTATTTCATGATTTATTGAAATACATTCAATCACCTTAGCCAGCCCGAGGTCAGTGAGAAGCCGGTCGGCCACAAACTCGATGTACTGTTTCATCAGACAGCTGTTGATTCCAATAAGATCCACTGACAAGGCCTCAGTCAAAAACTCCTACAACACCAAATAAGATGTGTGTATGCATTTACAAAAGTAGTTTGGCCTATCAAGAGTATGGTCTTTCAAATAGCAATAGAGAATAGACTTTGAAGACTTTTATAATTTGGTACACATACTGCTTCTAACACCAGCTCACCTGTTCAATGCTAACCGCTTTGGCGATGATATCCTTCACTCTGTCCTCTGATGGCTTTTTCAGCAGGTAGCTGTATAACAGGCAGGCAAAGTTACAGTGCAGGCCCTAGGAGACACATCAATATACATGGTAGCTGTCATATACTGTTGATATAAAAACAGAGAAGATCAGCCATTGTGTTCACATGCAAACATTTACTACTCAAGTTAACCCCAGAGCATCATACTGTAGCTACTCATACTTTTAAAACAGCAAAGCATGAATGGAGTAGGTGAACAAGCCAGCAGTCACATTACAGGAGTGGTAAATGCAGACTAATACAGTAGTGAAGAGTGGAGTGACCTCAAATGGCAGGAAAACCTGCACAACCCAACTTCAATGCAGGTGTATCAAACAAAATCATCCAAGATAAAAGTTTCTCTCACAGTATTATGTTACACAATGGATTTTCATGTTTTATTGTATGTGCTGCAATAGGTCATGTTTAACTGAAAATGGAGCAATATATAAATATTGCAATATGGAGAAATGTCTTTTGTAACCTGAGATGAAAACATAAGTCCATTACATGACTTTTTTTTTTTTTTTTACAACTACACTGAAAATGAAGAGGTCATTTCAACAGATTAGACTATGCGTTTTTGTTTGTGAATGCCTCTCACCTCATCCCTGCTGATCAGCTCGTTGGAGTAGGTAAGACCGGGCATTAGGCCCCTCTTTTTGAGCCAATAGATAGCAGCAAATGAGCCAGAGAAGAAGATGCCTTCCACAGCTGCAAAAGCCACAATTCGCTCCCCTGGGGGCAAACAGTCTGGGTCAAAATTACTACTACTACTACTACTACAAAACTTAACCCCCATAAATGAAAAGCCTCTCTAGGTCAAGAGTTACTCATTATATTCAGTCTATAGTATGACACTTAGTGTCATGTCTTCCTTACCAAATGTGGATTTATTGTCATTTATCCATTGGAGGGCCCAGTCTGCTTTTTGTTTCACACACGGCATGGTCTGAATGGCGTTAAACAAATAGTCCCTAAGAGACATATTACAGGATAAAACCAGTTAGCATTACTAGTTCCTAAAAATACATACTATGAAAAGCATTCATGAGCTTGGTCTTTTTATGTTCAACTCATACACAAGGCAGAATCATACTGGAGCCAATGTTACTTGCAAACATAAACAGTAGAACTTCTGAAGGTTGCAGACTAAAATTAATTCAACAAGTTGTAGGAGAATAAAACATCCAGTTTAAATACTTTTTAGGGATTGTAATGGGCTGATTCATGAAATAGTTGCCCTTCTAAGTCTGGAGGTACAGTTAAACTGATGCAGCTGGGAAGGAAACAGAAAACACTGCCAACTGGTGTAGGCTTATCATGTGAAGAACAGGTGTAGATCTTACAGCGTGTTTGAACTCTCAAGAGAACTAGATGTAGAGGAAGAAATTGTCCGTTTATGGTTATGCACTTGTTCCAAAGGTACTACAGCTGATGCACATAATCGTTACCATCTAAAGACTACAATATATAACAATTATTCATACTGACTTAGTGCAATCAAATTCTGTATTGCTTTTAAAATTGTTTTATACACTGTTCATTAAGGTACAAAATATCAAACAATTCATGCTTTTATACACCACAGAAAAATGCAATAAATAGTCAAATATGAAAATAAATAAACGAATGTCCTGAAACCTGCTTGCATCTAGAAGTTAGACAGAGCTATTGAGCACTCATGAGAAACGAGTAGACGAATATATAACTTACCTCTCCTTCAGGTCCCTAATATAAGTGTTGATGAGCATGCTGTACATCTCAGAGTGAACAGTTTCTATGAGCATCTGGAAGCTATAGAAGGACCGTGCTTCAGGAACCTGCACCTCCTGGCTGAACCTCTGTACCTGTGAGATAAAACAAAAATATAGAAAATTATACACTGGTGCATTACTAACTAAATCTTCTTGATGGTGTGCCACTAAAAGTTGTGACATTAACAGTCAACTCACACTGATTAAACTAGGTTTCATTCAGTTTGCCATTTACAGTATTATCAAACACATCAGATAGGTTATTTTAAAAGCAGTACACTTTGGCAGCAGCAACAAGATTTACACGTGACTATGGAAGCTGTCTCATTAAATTAAAATTCAGCATTAAAATGGTTTGCTCTGAATCTACATACAATATGGTGGGTATATTAAATAAATATTATATCTCGTGTTTTCCATAGAGACAAACAAGCTATAAGACATCTCTTACAGCTGAGTGACATCCATTTGATTGCTCTCTTACCAGGTTCTCATTGACGATACCATCACTGGCAGCAAAGAAAGCAAGCACATAGGAGATGAAATGTTTCTCCTCAGGCTTCAAACGGTCCCAGTGTTCCAGGTCTTTGGATAGGTCAACCTCAGAAACACAACATCAGCAGTAAACCTGTCTGTGTCATAGATTTTGCAGGCTTTTCTAATTATGAAAAGTTGCTGTGCAGTTAGTTACGATTCATTAATATCTCTGCAAAAATGATAATCAGAAAAAGTTGAAGTCTTAACAAAACAAACATTAGATTGGTTGAAATTCCCCTTCAAAGAAATGCTGAAAATACACTACTCACTTCCTCCACCGTCCAGAAAGAGGCTTGTGCCTGCTTGTACATCTTCCAGATGTCCGGATACTGGATGGGGAACATGACGAACCGCCTGGGGTTTTCCTGCAGCAAAGGCTCGTCCTCTGTTTCTGAACCATTTTGGCAGTCTGGATCTTTATCTTTAAAACCATTCTGCAAAGGGCCCAGTAAGATGACAGAAAATAAATACACATATTTCCATCTCACAGATAGTTTGGCATTTTATCTGGGTTGTTTTCAATTGATAAATTGCGTTTCTGCAATTATTAGTATATCCCTTGGTAACATATTTGTGGACTGATAGACAATCTTACTGATTGTGCCAACTATAAAATAGGCCATTGCGCTTGCGCATTAACCCGTAACAACCATAACAAAGGACACATCACATATTACATGTTAAATATAATAGTTTAAATTCTTTACATCGCAAGCAACTGTCTTGTCATCGTACACTAACTCTTTTGAACATCTGAACTCATATTTAGTCGGTCGGTTATGTTGTACCTGACACCGTGCTGAACAACATGAGCAGACACGGCTAATAAACGGTAGTTTTACAGTTACGTTAGCTATAAGTCTTAGCGTCAGTGAACCGTTAATTCGAATACATTAGCGAACAGGCTGGTTTTAGGAAGCGAGACCGAAATGCACAAGCTCACAAAACCTTGACTTACGCATAATTCTTACATCACGGTCACCTGTATGGGTTAATGCTGTGGCTAGCTATATCTAATCTACTTACCGATTCTTTAAGATGATTAGAGTGATGATTTATATCCGTCACATCCATTTCCAGAGAAGTCTTCTTCTTCACCGTCGGCGTCATTCGGAGGACAGACGCTATTAGTGAGTACCTACAATAACCTCGTGTTGATATTAGCTGTGGCACTTCTGGTCAAAACCAATGCACCCACGCTGAAGGGAAGGGGGTAGCGCCTCTAGCGCTCATACACAGCATTACAAAGCAGTGTCACGTGACGTGACGCACGCTATTAGTCATCACGCTTCAGTGAGTAAAACCAGAAAATCCAGATATATGTCAGAGAAATTACAGCAATCCACACAAATACATTGGTTTTATTGAACAGGAATGCAATTTGACATGTCTTGTACAAACAGTAGCATTCTTGCAGATGTATTGTAATCCCTTGCATTCTCAGTGATGACAGAATGACCATAGTATGCATTCTGAGCTGGGTGTCGGTGTGTATCACGCAACAAAATCCAGACAGCTAAACTGGTATATTGTGCACCCCCAACCGGAATACATCATTTGTGCAAGCCCATGCACAGTTCTGGGACTTCAGCATAAAAACCTGATGGAAGGCCATTGGTGGATCATCATCTACCTGTGGCAGAAAGTATTTTGGAAGTATTTGTGAGCACAATGAGTAAACAAACTGTAATGTTAAGGTAAAAATGTAAGCATGTGCTCTTTTGCCAAATAGGAATAATCACAATAAAACAACAAATTTGATTTTTGAGGAGGACAAGGGAGTCTGCTGTATAAAAACTTTAATAAAATCTAAATCTCTAACACAAAAATATGGAGCAAGCGTACATGATGATTACTAATAAGGGTGGGTAGAAATGGTAAAGTCAGGATAGCCTGTGTCAAAGCATGAATGAACTGCTAGTTGTGTATCTGTGAATCAGGTTCAGACCCAGAGTTATCAGCTAAAATGTACCAGCTTACCTGTAACTGTCCGAACACCATGATGAGGATGCAACTATCTATTGTAGGTTGGAAGTCTTGTTCTGTGATAACATGCTTAATACGCTTGAATGGCAAGTTCTGTGAAGTGAGAACAATTTTACTGTAATGTACAGCTACATCCAGCAACCTTAATAATGTGAACAAAAGTGTCGGGGTGAAAAAATAGCCTGCTCAGTGCGTGCACAAATGCAGGTACTTAAAGACACAAAGAATGCCTTTTGAAACAGTTTCTTTATGGATTGTGAATAATGTTGGTCACATAAGAAGAGATACTTACTGCTAATTTGGCTGCAATGTTGTCTCTCCCTTGAAAAGGTGACCCTTCCCATGTCAAACAAGCATCAGCAGACTAGGAAAAATGTTTATATTAGATACATACACTTATTTTTAATCGTGCATTTATGACAAAAACCTCAACTGCAAATGTTGGATGCAATTTGGTGTGCAGCGGATGTTAGTGATGTTGTAGCAGAATTTTAATGCAACAAAAACATAGTAATTGAATGTACATTGACCAAACATACATAGAGGTTACCCAGTCCCATTCTGTTGGTATTGTCAAACTGGTTGTAATATTCTTGGACAAAGCCCTCTCCAATCTTTCGCCATATTTCTTTCTCACAGGCCATATGTAAAGCTTAGGATCTGGAAAAACAAAAAAGCAAGAGTGTGTGTCACTGACTAGTATACAGCAGGTGTTCTGATGCAAGATTTCCATCCCCCTCTTAGTCACTATATATGACAATGATGTGAAAATAAAGAGACTCAGAAATGAAAGCAAATAATGAATGAAAGGAGAACACAATCAAAAGGCAAAGCACTTATCACATATAGAGCTACATTTACATTATTCTTGTGCAGGTTTACTTAAAAAGGAATTCATCAGCCCTGATCATATAATGTCACCTTAGCTTCTAGACTTCTACCCAGATGGTGATTATAAAAGCAGGAGGACGACTGTGTTGATGTTATTAGACTATGTTATTAGTTATTAGAGGTCTACTACGACGCAATGCATATCTTCTGTGAACACGTTCAACTGTGAAAGTAACTGCCTGATTAATACTTTATAGAGCCCATCCATAACTTGAGAAATATACTGATCGTTGGAGTTATATTTAACAGACAAATTCAGTTTAGTTGTCGCCACTGCTGATGGCCATAGCTTAAGAAAAAGCTGATAGAAAAAAATCTTACTAAACCATCTTAAAGTAGTATTTAATTCCTGTTAATAATAATCGGTTGCAACGATAAAAGAGAGTACAACAGTGACAAACACAAAGTTCAGACTTAGGCTATATCACTGAAATTGTTTTATAAATCCATCTGTAGTGATTGGATCAGTTGTCAATGTCAACACTGTTTTCTGTAAGTGGCCCAAGTCACATCATAGTTTAATATTAACGGGACTCGGCAGACATTACAAACACTGAACCAAGCACATCAAACGTTAACTTACTACCGAGCTACCATGGAGCTCTGAGTCCACTGTACTGCTCAACATCGGGAGCCACCGGCATAACTTAGAGCTAATGCTACCGTTAGCACATACTGGCTTTTCCCGGAACCGAGTTTTCCCCAGATTTCTCCTTGTATACTCGCCTCACTACAGCTGTGATACAACAGTTGATCACTTATCACCTTTGACACGACTTTAACATATAAAAAATACAATACTTTATCCTGTTGCAAGTTTTAGCTTACTTTTTCAAACAGGTGGGAAGAAAGCGTGGATAAGCCAGACCAATCGAGAGTGAAGGAGCTCCCGCTTCCTCCAAATTATGACAAACTTATGACGTAGATTGTGAACTGTCCAATGAAAGTCAATAATATTTGAAAGATTTGCCCTGGGTTCAGTTTGTCAGGCGCTCTTCTTCTCAGTTGAGTCCCTCCTTCCAAACCATGCTTATTGCATCCGTGCTTAACCCACTTCAGTTTCTCAAAGTATATAAACGGTGGTATTAAACCCTTTCGATCTTAATAAAGGAGATGGGATTTATATGCAGACTAACGGGCTGCCTGAAAAACCCAGCTCCGGCTTGTAAACCCACATTGCCAAAATTGAAAGGAAAGAAAAAGAGACGTGATTATTGTAAAAACGTAAACCAAAATTAACCTGTGAATGAAACCTCTTTATTTCAAACTATTTTGACAAAAAAATTAAAGAAAATATTGAATAGCTGTGACTAATATTGACTAAAGCTGGTAGGAAAGGTAAGCGGGGGGCCACCTCAAACCTTGAGGGTGCAGTTGTCACTCAAGGACGATGTCCAAATTCCTCCAGTTATTGTTACAAAACTGAATTGCATCTCCATCACTGGTCCAGACCTTAATTCATCCAACAGCTTAACTTGTGAAACTAACAACTCATCGACATTTCCCCATTGTGGGATCAATCAAGTCTTACCCTACCCTACCCATTGTGCTTTGTTCTTTTATAAGTTGCATTCAAAAATGAAGTCATATCAGTGCCAGAACAGTCACCCATAGTAAACAGTCAGGATAGCAATAAAGTGAATATTTTGACATGGAAGACATTAAATGCTTAAGTGGGTAACATCAATATCGCTTGGGTAGGGTGATGAGATGTTAGAAATACAGATTAATTTATAACAGCGTGCCAGTCTTTACAAATACCAATAAGAAGAATGTAATTTATAAAAAAGTTGGGTTAATTCTTCATGTAATACATCTTAAGATCTTTACAGCTCCCCTTTTTGTACCTTCTTTACAGTGAGATGACTTTGTTCTCCTGACTTGTCACAAATTAACATCTGACAATGTTTTCTTCACAATTAGTGAAAGCAAGACTAACAGAATTAAGACCCGTTTAGGCACTTAAAAATAATTTTGCTACAGTTAAGTCATTTCTGCTGCCAGGAAAACAACAGTCAAAGATGCAGAATGTCTTCACACTTGACATCCAGTGCCATGTTCAGAAAGGCTACTATTGCTTTGTTGAGGCCACTGCACCAATAGATCCCCTTGCAATAGATCCTCTTGCAATGGATGGCAGTAAAAAATGTCTCTAGAGTGTCAGCAAACAGGCCTCTGAGGTTAGAACCACATTATGCATTAAACGATCTAGCATGTCACTGTTCTGGCTGTGATGTGAAATAATCATCTGTCCGGAACACACTGGGGATCTCTTGTTGCTGATGTTGTGCTGGTCTTCTTAGGTTGGCTGGTTTCTGTCAGTGAATAGACACAAATTAGTCCTAACTGACCAATAGCAGTGTAATTCTACTGAAGCAGAATTACAGCATTTGCTGTGCAGGAGTTTAAATACAGTATGTTCATTGGAAAAAGATCTCTGGACACAATCTCACACCATAAATCACTGGTTATTTCATGATTGCTAATATGAGAACACATAAAATCAAGAGGTACTAACAAAATAAAAATGTACATGAATGACTCACACTTAAGAAGCCTGGAGTAGTCATTGTGCGGAGGATCTTCTTGAAAGCACTTGGTAGTGTTCCTAATTCTCCCTCTGCCTGTATGACTTGCTCCTCCATGGCACTGACATTGGATCCCACCATCTTTACAAAGGCCTGCAGGCAATAAATAATATGACAAAAAACTCATAAGTTAAAGATTCTTTTGTAAAATTATTCAACACCAGGAAACTTAATTAAAAGAAAAATAACATCACAAATGCAAAACAAAAAGGTTTAATAAGACCAATACAGACACTGGTCTATTGTAGTGTTGCATCCTGTTTTATCATAGCTTTCATGTTATATTCATTTCAGAATCCCTGTCAGTATAGTCTGCAGTTTGTTTTGGTCACCAGACACCATTCAGTAGCTCCAATGTGCATTACAAGAGTACAAAACCATTTATTGTATATGACAGTATTAACCCCATCAAAAGTGATCACTTACCTCTAACTTATCAATTCGTCTGTATATTTGTCTCATTTCAATAGACTTCTGCTGGATTTGAGGTAGGTTTTCATTCACTATCTGGGAAGTGTCATTGCGGATCTGGAGACAAAACATAATAGCATGTGAGACAATATATATATGTATGTAATTGGATAACAATTAGATACAGTCCATTCAAAATCTTTTACAGTTTCACAGTGTGTGAGTTTACCATATCCAGCATTCCAACAAACTCATCTACTCTTGTCAGCATTTCTTCCAAGCTCTTCTCCAAGCACAGTATCTAGAAGAGAACCATTAAAAGAACAGGCTATAAAATGTTGCCAACAGAGATGGTGTAAAATCTAAATCTAGTGAGTATGCATCAAATAAAGTGAGGCAGTCTCAAACTTATGTGACAGACTCACGCATTTTAAATTCAGTTCAGGGGGGATTTTAAAAATGCCTTTGTGTCAGGGAGAACTGCAGGGTCAAAACACAGGGGCTTTTGTTTCCTACAGAGCCAACGAGCTCACTCAGCTTAATTGTAAATCTGGAATCATGCATATCCAGTTAATGTCACGTCAGGAGTGACAGCGAGCTGTTCAGTTGGCCATTATACTGACAATAAAGAAAACACAGTTAATACCTACAAATACAAACAAGTGTCTCTCTAGGTTTAAGACAGTGAGACTTTTTGGAAGTGATTGACTCTTTGGACTCAGACTGTTTACATCTGTGATATTACAAGTGAGTTTGACTTGAAGACTTGCAGCTCAATTTTGAGCACTACTCATGAATTCAATTGGACTTTAAGTTTTTGACTAGGAGTGATTTGATAAAGCTAAAAATGCGATCATAAAACAACTCGACTCTTAATTTTCTTAACAATGGATATACTCTGAATCAGTCTGACCACATCAAATAATAATTAATAGAATTAAATGACGATGAGGATAACTACAACCTGGCAACCCAAAGGTTTTGAGTTATTTAATGGCTTACAACTGATCAAGCGTAGTATAGGGCATATTACCCATTAATACATCAGTGAATTCATCTAAAAAAACTCTTTATGAATTGTGCCTTATCAGAGCGTGGTACCACCACAAAAGGCTAGCGTTTACTTAGCTAGCGTGAGTGCTCCGTAACGTTACACTTACTAGCTACTTTACATGACTTGGTAGCTCGTTTCGTCCGGTGTAACGTCAAGCTAAAAGCCAACAGCACAAACCTCTTCTCCAGCTGTCTCTCTGATGTAAGAGGCGTAGCTGAGGGCCGTGTCTCTCAGGACTTCGTCATCCTGCTCTGGGACGTGCTGGTCAGCTGTCTGGGGCTCCGCTGCTTCGTTGAGGCTCGGACTCTGATGGATAACATTAGCTGCTGCACCAAAACTGGGGCTCTGCGACACGGTACCGCTGCTGATTTCGCTCACCATGGACAAACTACTCGCACTTTGGGAGACGATACCGCTGTCTCTGCTTATCTCGGCGCTGGACTCCTCCAGGGGAGACAGAAGACCAACTCTGTCAATCCGTTGATGGTCCATGTCGACAGCCTTTACGATCCCCAGTGTTTTGCCTTGTCAACTGACTTGATCATGTGGGTGGCGTCGCGGATGGTGGCTCATAAGGGTTAAAACAGTGTAGAGCACAAAGCGTTGAACACTCTTCTGCTCTCTAAACTTTCACTTAAACGCTCTGATTGTAGTAAAACGTTTTATATAGGGCTGTAAATCTTAAGTAGACGCATCATTTAAGTCAAAGAAAAAAAATCCAAACCCCAAGCAATGTGTTATTCTTGCTGGTGTTTCTGTTATTTTGTCCATCCGATTTACATCAATGATGCTAGAATAATTAACTGAAACACCTCTTTTTATGCAGTACAATTCAACAGCCGCCAAAATGATCTAGAAGTCAATCTCTCAAACGGCTTGAACAAAATCTGAACATGATCACAGTTTATGAGGGCAGAATTAACCGCAGCACTGCTGTAGTGGCCCATTAGACTGCTTTAGCTCAGAAATAACTCTGCAGCTGGGACACTATCTTGAAAAATGTACGAACGCAAAAGCACTGATGTTAATTGCCCCTAAACTGCGTATGTCACATTTAATGACAAACTGTCATTGCAATCTAGGCCAGCAGATGGCAGCAGTAATTACTGCATTACATGAACTTAAGTGGTCTACAAAGGTCTGGATGGACTGAAATTTGAATGTCCATATTTTTTATGTTAATGTTTTAATATAACCTCTCATGCTCTCTTTGTCAGCATTAATAAAGCCACACTTCAGTCCCAGAACTGCCTTCTGGCCATCTGTGTCACATGTGGGGAACATAGTTCTGTAACGTATTGGGGCTAAAGGTATTTCTACCCACAGGCCTACTGCATGTGTATCTTCTGAAAATAAAAGAAAAAATTTCTAATCCATGCACAAGTTGTTCAAAGTACTTGTTAAAGCACTGATGGCAAAATTATCTGCCTGACAGGATTTTGGTTTCCCCACCCATTCTGCTGATTAACAGTGTAGACTACAAGCAAAGCAGACTAGTTCGGTGTCAATCATATGCTGTAGCTGTTTGAGCAGCGTGGCATGCTGAGTAAACACAGCAGACAAACATTCATTAACAGAAAGGTGAAAGACATTTATTGGCCTCTGACCCAGGACAAAGTTGCATTCCATCTGCTTGATATATTGCCTGTAACCTACGTCCAGAGGATGATAGGAACTGGTTGAGTCTGAAAAGGGAAATGTAGCCTACAGTTAGCCTGTCTTCATTTTGTGAAGTCTGCAACAAATGATTTTGAGTTGAAATTTGACCTTTACCCACTTCCCCTCAATACTGACTCCATCAGGCATATGCTTGCTGTATTAAGCTATGGATAATCAGTGCAATTTTGCCTGGTTTTCTGTAAATACTGAGGTGAAAATATCTTTCACTTCAGCTGCAGAATGATAATAGCAGCACCACCATTTCCACAGAAAGCAAAGCCACAAGTCTCACATGTTTTGTGGTTGTGGATTCCTGGTCTACAGATGCTGTTGTTGGTGAGAGATGGATTACCAGCCTGTTCAAAGATTTTGTTTTGTTGACCTTTACAGTCAAAGAAAGCATTTTGTCTTTTGGTTCTGAGAACCTGAAACCACACATTCAGTGTTTTGTGTTGTTTATATCATCTTCCCCCTAAAACACAGTCAAGATGCCCTAGAAAAACTAACTTTAATTCAATTAAACCTGCATGGACTACATGTTTACTACTACAATATTTTGCCCATAATTGATAACCAAAACTTTTAAATAGACACATCTCTATAATTAATTATATAAATGAGAAATTGATGGCTTTTAAATTACATGTACAATATAATAAAGGCTGAACCAAAACATAAATACGTTTCTAATTTGCAAAATTGTGAGACAGAATAATTTATTGGAACAAATACAAGGATTTGATCACAATCATCAATGCATAAAAGAACTATTAAAAATCACTCTACACAGCATTTATAAGAATATAAGAAATATAGATTTACTCTTTAAAAATACCCTTAAGCAACCCTATGTTGGTCCCAGCAATAAGAATGAAAGCATCTTAATAAAAGTGATCATTAACAAAAGATAGGCACATTCAGACAGTGGACTCACCTAAAAACAGCTATTTGTTCTGATGCTTATTAGATACATACAAATCTCTTCCTGTTAAACAAAGTCAACTTCAAAAATACAAAAACATATATACATTTCCTTATTTCCTGACTTGTAACGTCCTGTCATTTATCTTGTAAAAACAAAGAAGTTACAAAATTAGTTATCTGACAAAACACACTTGTGCTCTTAATTATCTGGCCTGGAGTTCCAGTTGAAGTCTCTGAGCAGTTGGGATGTTTATGTCTCCGAGTCTGTGATCATATGTATTATAGGGTAATGACGGTGCCATCCTCCTCCACCCCTCCCCTGGGCAGTGCAAGACTGTGTCGTTGGTCCGTTTTCAGGGAGCTGAGGATTTTGTGCAGGCTGCCATTGCTGTGGCGGAGGGCTGTGTTGCTGCTGTGAAGGGGAGGCTGTACGTGGTGCTGACTGTGTAATGACTGTTGGTGCGCCTTGTGTTGAAGGTTCAGGTCTTTGTGGAGCTGGTAGCTGAGGCTGCTGTGTTGGTGGTGGTGGGAACCTCCGTTGAGGCTCGGCTGGGAGTGGAAAGAGGCAGTGGAGACCACTGATAAAGGCCGTGTAGGAGGGCTGGGAGGTGCAGCTGGGCCTGAAACAGTTGTTGCTGTTAGTAACTGCGTACGAGATGCACTGGACACCAGAGACGCATTGGACCTCTGAGACGGCCGCTTGAGGCTGCTCTCAATGACGATATCTGTGTCATCATCACTCTCCAGGTCATCTTGGTACCCGTGTGCTCCAGAGGACACTGTTGCAGAGGCTGCTGACAAACTTGGGTAACCAGTCGACCCACTACTGTCAGACGACTGGCCTGAGCTTCCGGAGATTCTGCTACTGCGGACAACATTGTTACGCTGGTTCACCGGCTTCACTGTCACGATCAGATTGTGGCTGTTGGCAATCATCATGTCTGTTACCTGATCCAAGGACTTTCCAGTGACTTCAATGCCATTCACCTCCAACACCTCATCATTAACCGCCAGCAGCCCAGTGCTCTCTGCCAAACCTCCAGGCACCAGCCGAGATATGAAGATGCCTGGGACTTTCTCCACCCCGTGTGGAGTCACACGTACACTGGTTCCATCTCGGATGTAAAAACCAAGGGGCTTGTCTGATCCGTGACGGTACAATCGGACACGACGGTGAGATTCAGGCAAAATGTCCACATCAATGATGGAGGAGACCGGACGGAAATCCTGTGGCATTCCGATGCGAAGGTGTGGCCGCTTACGGCTGACATCATTGCTGCGCAGTGCGACCACTGCCTTCTTCCTACGAGTTAGTGTGTTGGTGCCGAAGTTAGCATAGTCAACCTCTTCTGCAAAGAAATAAAAGGAGACAGAGAAACACAAAGAGTTAGGTAGATATTAGATGTTAGTTCTGAGATTTCATAATTGTAAATGTCCATATATTTTTCCCCCAAAATGTTAGGAGGTACAAAAAATAAAAAAATCTAAAGGCAAAAAAACAACAAACAAATAAAAACACCTTGAGAGGTGGAAGATTTGGAACAACACAAAGTTTCCCTCTGTCTACAAAAATTTAAATCAGGCCACCTGCATAAAAAAATTCCATTGTGCAAACTATGCACAGATGTGCTTGAAAAGAATTTTTGCACAAGACACCTGCTAATCATTTGTATAAATTTTATTCCATATGTGGCATTAACACAGTTCTTACTACAAGGTCTGACTGTTTGCTGGATAAAGCTTGATTTATGGTTCTGCGTTGAATCTACACAGAGCCTATGCCGTAGGCTATTCAAGTGGCCTATGTCATTGTGAGCATTTATACTTGTGACACGTGTGTCTGTCTTGCTCTGCAATTACACCACCAAAACACTAGTTGGAGGTGGTGTGTATATGTCACTGTGTTGTGTTTCTTTGCCAGTTACAAACAATAACGACTGAGAACTGAGCAGGTCATGTTGAAAGTAAAACCAATAGATTTTGAACAGCAGTTCCTTTTACTGAAGTTAAGGCAACACAAATAGAAGAAGTCAGAGGAGATGGTTTGTACGACCAGTGAACCACCTGGGACAGAACAGGGGGCTCCTCTGTGTTGGTCCAGCCAATGACAGACATGAATGAAGAAATGCAATGTAACCAGTCACAGCTCTTGTCGTCTGCATTGCCGTGACATGCACTTTCATTTCTGGAGAGGTGCACATCAGGCTCCAGCATATGGCATGAGGCTACAAATTACCTATGCCGTAGGGATGGCGTAGATTCAAAGCAAAACCATAAATCAAGCTTTAGTGTTCAACTGAGTCCCTTTTAGAATGATGACCAATTTAGGTATGAAAAACTACACATGAGCATGTCAACTACAGTATATTCACATACTGCTACCGCTGCAGTGTGTGCACGCGCGCGGGCAGTTCAGATAAAGCAATGAGTGCACAGAACAGTCCTGCTGTGCTGACAGAGGCGACACACCCTTCTGCTACTAAGCAGCAGCTGTAGGGTTTTCCCAGTGTGCATTTCTGCACCCAGATAAACAGGAACATGTACTATTCTTAGTACGAACACAAAACTCAAAAAAAATCCCAAAATACTGATTGTACCTTCATGGTATTTTGCCAGTTACAGCATACTACAAGCAAAGTCTTACATGCTCCACTAACTTAACTACACAGAAAGTGAACTCAAAGAAACACAAGACACTGGAAAGAACAAGTTGTGAGGGAGGATTCAGTATGGTAATCAAAGTTCAAGCCTGATGTTTCCAACCAGAGATTTAGAACAAACAATGAAATCCTTTATGGAGGACTAGATCACCAACGCATTAAAGAGAGTGACTGCTTTAGAACAATGTAGCTGCTGCCAAACATGCTCATACACTCGATCAGAGAACAGAGGAGGGAGAATTGAGGCTTTGCAAGAGTGGACTGAGGAGTATACTCTAGGGTACCACACTTGGAAAAAATGCTTAAATGCCTTCACTGAGGTTCTGACCAAAAGTAGAGAGAAATGTGTGATCCTTGTTAGGAAGATAGGAAACATGGACACTGCAAAGCCTGATGTGACGGGATGTGAGGGTCTGCTCCTGCACTTCCAACAATGAGTCATCTTTGCCCTACTGTTTGGGACACCTGCTTCATATAATTATTTTTCTTATTAATTGTGTGTATGGGGGTGTGTGTATCCATGGGTAAGCACACTGTAACTTTTGGCCAGGTCTTCAAAGTACACTGTGGACGGAGAGAACAGTGAGACAAATATAGAGTCTCTGAGCACAGCCAGCTGGCCGGTCTGTCCTTCTGCTGCTTCTGAGGAGTGTGGACATCTGCCATACAACTCCCTATGCAGAGCTGACTCATCATTAATATACGCCTTTTTCCCTAACCAATTCCTCTTGCTGCTTTTGAGCAGAACGTTGACTAAGCAACGTTTTACTACAGTTTAAGAGAAAAAGAAAAAAGGGAGTATGGGGAGTCTGGGGGAAACTGGGTGAAATTTGGCACAGTTCAGTGTCCCATTACAAACGGTTAGGTGAAACGAAGCGGCGCGTGGGGGTCGGTATTGACACAACCAGTGCACATGGGGAACTGGACATGGTAAAATTTAGGAACATAAGGAAAATAAAGAACATGGCAAAAATAAGATTGATAAATGAGTGTTGTGAAATACTAGATTGGTATCTATTGTCACAGCATGAAATAATGTCAAGCCAAAGTGCTGCTGACGAAACTACCTGGAAAATGCTAAACATTTTCTGCTTTAAAATTTGTTTTTAATCAGTGCCTTGTTTGTGCAAACTGTCAGTGTCATTAAACTCGCAGTGTATGGTATTCTTAGTTTTCTCTGTATGTTGTGGCATATGCTGATTTGATTGATTCCAGACAAGGAATTTGCTACAGGGCTGGAATTTCTGCCACAAGCGCCAAGTCTCCCTGGTGGGAACTATATCAGAGGCGATAGCAGCAGCATCTCATTAAAAGTGCGTGGTGTAAAGTCCTGCATTCTCCACACCTTCACTTCAGCCTGAACCACACCACACCACCAGTGTATTTAATGGGACAGACAATTTTTCAGTCAGAAATTTCCATGTGCATGCCTCCTGTGTGTGATGTCTCACAGTTGTTCTGAAAGATCCCAGAAGGAGCCCATGCTGGTGCAATCTGTTTAAAGAAAACTTCAAAAAAAAGACATGGGGTGTGTTTGATATATCCTAGGGCAAGAGCTGAAGATAAATGATTCTAGTGAAAATGAGCAGGGGTTAAATATGGATCTGAAACACTGTGTAGATTCCTCTGATCACAGTCCAGTAGGAAAAACTATTTTAAAGCATCTATGAGTGCATTCTGCCTGAGGGGTGTTCAGAAATGTAATTAACAATGATAAAATAAAATAAACTTAAAGAGGGAAAGATAGTAAGCAGACTCAACCAACACATGTTCTGATTTCATACCTCACCAAAATATAAAGGCTCATACATCATGTCTAGGCAATTACTAAATATTAAATGATGACACATAGTTTGCAAAAGAATGCGAGTGTAAGCCAAATAAAGAGGAAGGTGTTTAGACACTGAAAATACCCACAGGTGAAACAGGTACACTGCTAGTTAACACTCACATTCAGGAAACCCTGAAGTGTTTTTATATTTAAGGAAAACAGAAAAACTACAAATATAACCTTTAAATGTTTGACAACTGGAAGAAACAGTCAATTAGCTGAAGAGTCTACTGACAGAAAGTCTTAGTTACTTCTTCCAGCTTCTCAAATGTGACAAACTGTTGCTTTTTAAATATGTGGAGTTGTTTCATTTTTCACCAAGCGATTAATCAATTAAATAAGAAAATATTCAATAGAACAATTGATGATAAAAGCAATTGATAGTTGCAGCCCTTAAGTGCACTATACCTTCCAGTACGGCTGAAATTATTTGCACCTAGAAAGTAAAAGGGAGCACCACAGAATTATATTTCAAGATGTCAAGTCACAAAACCAGACTGTGGCAGCAAAGTTACATGTTGTTTTCTCTTACAGCTGTGTATTTAGAGAAAAATCTTGATGGAATGAAGACATTCCATAGGAAACACTGTTGGTATCTTTCATGGTAAACTTGCGTGTGTGTGGAAGAACTACAGTGCTGTAGAGTTTTAACTATATGTGACCGCAGTGTAGGATAGTGCAATAAAGTTAAACTGCTTTTTAAATTACAGACTGATTAAAAAAAAAGACTTTCCTAAATCAACACAATCTTATAAAGGTCAGTGATTACTTTAAAGAAGCAATATAAGAATGAACTATCAGGTGTCACAGCTTTCTAGACGTAACTCAGCTCTGCCAATTGTGGGAGACGTACACCAACACACAGGGATTCTCACGCAAGGACAGGATAAGTGAGCACATTCCAGCTGATCACACAAAGGTTATTGTAACAAATCCTGACAAACCTAATCCCTGCTACACCGAAGCATGATGGGTAAGCCAGTGTGAACGAGATGATCAAAGACTGCCAGGCCACTGCCAGACATCTGCAGACACCTATTAGAAAGACCAGGTGCTTCAATTAGCACAGCTTGGTACATAAAGAAAGAAGGTCAATGGGATTTAAAAGAATAAGTGCCATGTTTTACAGCCTTGTAATTAAAATTCCAAGTGTGTTTTACTTATGAATATTTAAGCTGAACCACCTAAAGTGGCTCAGTCAACTCATGCAAAATCAGGAGGAAAGGGTCAGAGGTGAAAAGATGAATTCTGGATGATTTCTGCATTACACTGTCTGTTGTTGCATATGGCAGTGTGTGTGTGTGTGTGTCTCTCTCTCTCTGTGTGTGGGCCTGACACTTGAGGAATGTGGGGGTAAATGTAGATGGAGATATCTCTGAACAGGCTGAAGACCTGCATAACTTCTTAAGACAGGCATGGGCTGCTTTGAACCAAAGCAACTGGCTATTTCAAGCTTGCCAGAACATGGTTTAGGTAATGCAATCCAACACTGGCATGTTTGCTCACCTTCTATAAAGAAAGTATTACCTGTTATGACAATTAAAAACTCACATCATCAAGAATCATATGAAAATTAGTTAGGAAACATAAATGTGCAGTGTTTTTATGTGATACTAGTGCATTTGAGATCTTAAAAAAAAAATAACACTAATTCGAAGCTAGCTAGCTAACTGGTTTCTGGTTGCTATTAAATGCCCCAAGCTGTTTTTAAGCTTACCAAGCAAAGTAAAAACTCTTTGTTTCACTGAAGTTCACCTCTAGTTTACTGAAGCTATGAAAAACCCCTTTAAAATCCTACTGCTCTTTCACTGTCTTCCATAAAAAGACAGGAATCTAAAGAGTTTTATGATCAACCATT